ATTTAGTTATCGGGATTCCTGTATAATATGGGCTGATATTTAAGGTAATCCACGCTGATCCATTTTCGATCCCCACTGGGCTGTGAATAGCATTCTTGCTAAATACTATGTCCATAGTTCGAGGATAGATTTTAACCTATCTGGTTGTAATTTGTTGAGTTCTGTATGTTGCCCTGACAAGTGTGAATTTATTTATAATAAGTAATGTAGGCTGGTGAATTATTAACGAATTATAAGACTTCACAAGTTGTTGACCCACTAGTAATACTGGATTTTTAATTCATCAGGCTATCTTTGTGTTAAGTACTATGGATGTTTCAAAAGGTAATAATCAGAATTTAGACCATGCATTTGCTCATTTAGCAGCTTGTATAGAACACTCACCTGTGTGAAGAATGGGTAACTTAAGAAAATGCAGTTGCTTTTATAAGAATTTGATTCCAAAGAAATTTGTTTTGAATTAGTTTTCTACTTGTAGTGGAAAGACACTTTGCCAAAACTATTAAAGATGAGAATTGCAGGGTTGGTTTAAAATCCAATCCAAATTCTCTTTCATTCTCTGCAGTATTTCCATTAAATCTGATTAATGTCCAGGAATAAAAACCCAAGATATTTTTTTTTGTGTTCTCTTTGTGACTTGTTCTAGTAAACAAGGCATGTGTATACTTTTGTGTTGTCTTTTAAAGCTGGTAGTCCACTGGACTGATTACTACATTGTGGTATCTTTATAATTTAGAACTACCTGTGGCTCTCAGGAACAGAAAGGTTAAAGAAAGTGAATGAGAGACTGCAAATCTTTTGAAGCAATGACCTGATAGTTATTTTACATCACTTTGTGATCACTTTGTTACATACACTAATATCAAAAAAGAATGTATATAGATACAAATATGAATAATCAGCTGAATAAATACAATACATAAACAAGTGCTCATCTAAATTTTTTTCCTAGCCTTGTGTTTTGTTCCTTCTTAGCAAAACCAGGAAGAGAGATATTACTGTTCATTCAAAAAATTAATGGAGTAATATATTGCTAGCCCTGATTTTTGGCTTAGGAGTGTACAAATCATAATTTTAAATGTAGCCAAAGGAAAATAAAGTTGACATGTCACCCATGGTAAACGCTAAACATTATTCACAGTAGTGCTGCAGAAGGTATCTGTAGGATATTGTATAGTGGTTACTATGAAGATCTCATAAAGGGTGGAGATAAGAGGCATTGAGCCTGCAGATTAAAAAATCATTTAATAACAATGAAAAGAGCTTGTCTGGCTCATCTTGGTTATATTTAAAATGTCTTTTATATGTATTGGATTTATACTGATTGAAAACTCACCACTTCTTTTATGTGGCTGAATAATTACGACTGATGATGTTAGTCTGGGCCCATAGACTTAAAAGATAGAGAAACACATTGTTAAATCTATGATACACTTGCAGTATTGAACCAGCATATCTTGCTTTGTCATTGAAGTCTCTGAAAGTGTTGTAAATGACATAGGTTGCCATCGTAAGGTGTTCACAGAAGCTGTTCAATATTGAAAGTGAACATAGATCTGATTTGCTGTCTGTCATTCTTCAAACTGTCTGAGAGCAAAACAAATCTCTGGAATAGCTTTGGCAGTTATAAAGTAGGAAATGTGCCAGTAGAATAAACCTGATGAGCAAATTTTGTAAGAAATCCTAAAATGACAATTAAACAGCATCATGCAGAGTCGTAAACACAAGAGGCCAGTATTATCATATGCTGTTTAGAAAAGCACAAATCGTCAATAAATCATGCAGTTGATTATTGTATTCATTCATCTGTGGGTTACTGGGGCACTAGCAATGTAGTTCAGTCTTGAAGGTTTGTTATTGTTTAGACCACATTGTAAAATCTATTGATTATCCATATGCAGCATGATTTAGTCTTTCATCTAATATTTGTGCTCTTGGTAATAGGATACTGCAGCCGTGGATTAGAACAGGCATTTTAAATCACATACTTTATGGTTTTCATCTAGGAAACAGTAATAATGAAAAACTGAGAAGGGTCATAAAAACCCTATTCATGCTATTCTAAAAATACTATTATAACATCATTATTTTACTAGCATTACCTACTTTAACAAATCTCATCTGAAGCATTGGCAAAATTTGTGTAAAAAACTGAATCTACAATTACAGAAATAGCCATTTTCCTAGGAGGCTTTGATAGTCCTCACACTTTATTCTTTTAAACCATCTAAACCAAGAGTCAATTTGACGTAAATTTTTGTCTTTGTTATTCTGGCTGCTTCAAGATTTATATGAAGGGTTCTTCAGTCAGTGATAATTTGGTATCTAGAATTTAGTTCAGTTGTCTAGGCACAGCCATCTAGTACCATTTTAAATGCAAAACATCCCCTCAAAGCCTGCAGATGTGACACAGGCCCTTCCAGACAGGCAGATAAACGGCATCGAACGTGGAAAATGGTATTAAACAGTCTTAGGCAACTAAATAAAGTCTCCATTCCTTGTTCCCTCCAATAATGTTCAGTAGGATATTTAGGGATGCAGTGTAGTTCTCCACGTATATGTACCTCCATGTGAGCTAGGTGTCCAAACTGCCTTTATAGCTGGTGGAGATCTCGTCCTCAGTTCAGTCGCCTTCAAGTGGGCATCTTGATCAATCTGATATGCCCTGTCTGATATGCTGTGTCTCATTTGCTGCTCCAGAAGGACACAGGTCTCCCATACAGAATCACAGAATGGGTTTGGTTGGAAGAGACCTCTGGGATCATCGAGTCCAACCTTTGCCCTAACACCACCGTGTCAACTAGACCGTACACTAAGTGCCATGTCCAGTCTTTTCTTCAGCACCTCCAGGGATGGTGACTCCACCACCTCCCTTGGCAGCCCATTCCAATGCCTAAGACCCTTTCTGTGAAGAAATGCCTCCTCATTTCTAGCCTGAACTTCCCCTGGAGCGGTTTCAAACTATGCCCTCTTGTCCTGTCACTGGTTGCCTAGGAGAAGATCAGGTACGATCTGGGCTGAGGTGCTGAGATTGAGCAAAATCACAGAGCCGTGGTCTACAGAGTTACTCAGCGGGTAGTTCTGTGTGTCAACTCCTGGGCTGAACTGAAGAGGCTTTGCTGTGTTGAATAGGTCTCCATCCGTGAGAGCCTAGTTCCGTGGAGAGTCCTGAGTTTAGGAGCCTGACTTTTTAAACAAATCAAACCTTTTGCCAAATAACTGTGATATTTGGCACGTATGAATGATTATAGCGAGATTCACTTTAAGACAGATGCACATATGTATGTGCCATAGTAGTGAAAAAAAAAAAAAAGACAAATGGGATGCACTTTCCTACTCTTTACTGTGGGCAGTCAACACTTTTTTTCTTACTTACGTGAGTGTTACAGGAATGGAAAAGAGAGAGAGAGCAAAATAAGGTTAGTGTGAATTATGAAACTAAGAGTTAATAGATAATAGCCAGCAGAGGAATAGAGGTAATTAATTTATAAGCATGTATATAATTTTTATTGGAGAAAATAATGCATAGAAAGTATAAGCAGATTCGTTTGTCTTCTCTTTGATCTTTTCACAAAGTGTACGATTTCAAACCCACTGAAGTCAGTGAGAATCATTTCACTGACCTGAACAAGGTTTTTATCAGAATATAAGACATTTATTCTTACGCATGTATATATATTAAAGATGTGATAGCCAGTCTTGGTTATTGTATTCAAATTATTCTGAGTTTTCTACTATTCCTCTTGATCCATGACTTAACATCAGAGTTCAGACTGCTTCAGTAATTGCCTGACATAGTTTGACACTACTTGATTCTGCCTGTTTTTAACACCACTGTTTGGACAGTATTAACTGTACTTCATGCTTTTCCTCACTTTGTAGAGTTTCATTAAAAATTAAATGTGAAAAAATAAATACATGACAACTTGTAAAGCTTGAAAGAATAAAAGAAAGTTACTGAGTCTTAGCCATCCAGTGTATAAAATGGGTTTATACTGGTAATATGTATTTCTATGTATTTTTATTCTCAACTCTAAGGTAAGTTTCCTTTGGATCTGTATATTGTTCCTTTGCCTTCCCTGAAGCGCAAGCTTCTCAGGCAGATCTAAGAAATTCCACAACGTGAACACTCTTTTTCTGTTTTGAAATCCAGCATTTTTCCTTACCCGCAAATCATAGATCAAGTCAGGAGAGAATACTTCTCCAGTATACTTTAACTGTTTTATCAAAAACTACTCAGTGTACTTAAGGGTTGCCACCTAACACATGAAACGAAATATAAGTTTATCCATTCAGGCTTTGCTGGTTATGCAGATCTTGAGGCTTAGAGAGGGTGTATCCGTCACAATGCTTGAGGAGAGCAATTCTGCATGTTCCAGCGCTTTACTTGACCGTATCAATTGCTGGACCAAAAAACATTGTTCAAAAGCACATTCTCATGTGTGTTTGGTACATCTCCTGCCTTCGGAAGACAAGAAGACAGAACTGATCTTTTAAAAGATAAGCTTTAATGAAACGGAAGAGTTGTTTAAATTGCTTAATGCTCCTTTTGCTCATCCATTTAGAATAGTAAGAGGAATGACTTGAAGTGGAGTGACTGAGAGCATTTAACTTTCTCTTGCAACTTGCAGAATGAGTCGTGAGATGAGCGAGCTAGTGTATGTATATACGTCGACAAATACAGTAGGGCTTTGTTGTATTTTATAACTTAATAACTCAAAATTGATTTCCTTTTACATTTTTTTTTGACTGTGTTTAATATATCCTGCCAAGAAAACATACAGATTGTTAATTTTGTTGTAACATTACTTGTAAGGTGTTTGCTTGTGTACAAAAGACAGTTGTCACCGTTTGTGAGAAGTTTGTCTCTTCATAAATTCTAATGCAAAAATGCATTTGGGGTAAATGTAAGATGTCCTGATGTAATTATTTTAAGTTCTTACTCTAATTTGTTATTTTTTAAACCTTAAAAGTAATGAACTTTTTTTTTTTTGTTACAGAAACCTTTGAGATGCTTATCAGACTGGCTGAGAATTACACAAGCACACTTTTCTGCAATGCATATAGAAACATGGCTGCTGAGGCTACTATACGCGTTCAGGAGTTTTTCACAGATGTTGGACTCTTCATCTTTGGCACAGATGTTAGCACAGAGGAATTTGTCAACAGATTTTTTGACACTCTGTTCCCAGTAGTCTACAACCACGTGATTAACCCTGGTCTGACTGACATTTCACTGGAATATGCGGAGTGCCTCCGAACGGTGAGAAGAGACATCAGGCCCTTTGGTAACATTCCCAAAAAGGCCATAGGACAAATGGGAAGATCACTGTTACCCAGCCGGACTTTCTTGCAAGCTCTGAATTTGGGGACTGAAGTGATCAATACAACAGATCATCTGCATTTCTCTAAAGACTGTGGCAGAGCTTTACTGAGAATGCAGTACTGCCCTCACTGCCAAGGGCTGATTTTAAGTAAGCCCTGTATGGGCTACTGCCTCAATGTCATCCGCGGCTGCTTAGCTAACATGGCAGAAGTTGATATTCATTGGCGGGGATATATTCAGTCCCTGGAGGAGCTTTCAAGTGCCATGAGGGGAACGTACGACATCGAGCATGTGCTTCTAAACTTTCATTCCCTTGTTAATGATGCTGTCGTACAGGCTCGTATCAATGGGCCAGAATTATCTGAGCAGGTAAGAAGCTGTTTTTATCCACGCTTGGTGCAAACATGACACTAAGAAAAGTAGCACTGATAACTATTAATTGTTTGGCTGTTTTTATGGTGATGAACACATTTGTATCCGAGTCCAGCTTTATTTGACAATGCATTTTTCCAGCACTATCAGTTTTTATTTTAATCATGCACATGACCCGCTAATTTCCCATATTCTATTCACAAGTTTAACATCAAGTGGAGATTCAACACTTTGGCAGCATTTACAGTAAAGTCTTTTCAAAATGAAAAGAATTCTTATGTGGAATTTATGTTTTCCCATTTCCCATGAAACCACAGCTTTTTTCAAGGTTTTGCTGAGTGAAAATTTTTGTCACACAATCCAATGGAAACTACTGTTCCCTCACCCTTTTTATTTAGGAGTTAACATTGTCAGATGCAATGAATAGCTTTAGGTTTAACTTTACACCTGTGTCTCTTAAGTTCTGCTGAACAAGGATGAACAATGAAATATGTCATTAAGTTTGGAAGCTCAAAATATTAACGAGAGGAAAGTAAATTATCTGGTGAAAAAGTAATTCCACAAATATTCTATAAAAACAGTGTAATATGCTGACATTTGTGTAAATTAAGAGTCTTAAATCTCAGCAACAAAATTTGTTTGCAGAGTGGAAACTTGTTATACAACATATTGAGAATAATTTTTAGGAGCACAAAAAAATGTTTTTCATGAACATAAGAGAACTTTAATCTCTTTGTTGTTATCTTTTATGCACGTAATGATAAATTTAAACAAACATTCTTTTAGGTACCAGTGGTCTGTCTTAAAGAACCTATGACTTTGCATAATTTTGTAGGTTTCAGATGAAGTAGCACAGTTCGTTTGTAACATCAACTGAGTCCTTCCTTACATATACTTAAGAGAAAAAGCAAGTTATGTGAGAGCTATATTAGCTGTGAATGCATGAAGTGAAGAATTTTAAGATACTGTTTGGGAAAATACATGTTATTTAACTACACATTAGAAAGAACGCTATTTTATCTGCAAATTTATGAAGGTTATATAATTAGCAAAATTTGAATCCTTCCTATGTTGTATTTAATCCAGAATACATTTTGCAATTGTATTTTTCTCTGTATTCTTACACGCAGACTTCACTGACAGTGACATATTCTGGATTGGATATATTGGTCTGGGGAGATGCCTTTAGTTTTACAGTATACACAGGTCTAACCAGGGCGTCTGGGTGTCACTGTGATGTGGCATCAGCCGAGGTGCAGTAATACTACTAAAGCCTGCCTCTTTACGTGACTAGCTGAAGTTGAAGCAGTGTCTTCTGCTAAGCAGCGGATATGGCCTCTGACAATAAACAACTTGACCTAATATCATAAACAGAGGATTCTTCATTTCTTACTAAGACCCACAGTCTATTAAAATGGGTTCTTCATCCTGCTTGTAGTCAGTGAGTAACAGGGAAATTGCCCATTTCTGTGAGTTTCCCATTTTATCTGCTTTACACCAGCCAGCTGTATTAACCAGAATCTCCTGCTGCTGAACTTCCTTGAGAAAAACTGTAATTTTTTTTTAAAAGGTTTTTCACTAACAGTTTGGCTCAAAAGTGGCTCACTGATGTCTGTCTAATTCTTAATATTTTTTAGAGCTACAGTTGCCTTTTAGGGATATTCCCTGTTCCTCCTCAGATTTTTGGGGGATCTTTTTCTGTCTGCAATTTCCAGGAACAAGCTAGAATAAGAAAGTAAAGGCTCCAGGGAAGGACTTTTGCTTCCTCTTTCATCCTGGGTCATTTAGTTTGAAAAGTTTTAGACTTGGATTTCAACAGTGAACCGTCATTGGCTCAGACTTAAAAGTCTCTCAGCACAGTCATGTTTTCAAAATGCAAGTTTTTACTTTCCAAAGTAGTGTAGTTCACTCAATTTTAGTAAAATATTAAATGAGTGAAGAGCCCTCCACCGTGTTTTGACTTAATGAAAATTTCAGATTGATCTAAAATAAAACACTTTATTTTGATATTCCTGAAAATTCTATCCCTTCCTTCTCCCCTTCCCTCATATGATGTAAGGAATACTAAAATTTCTTATGTACTGGTATTTTGTGCCAATGTGTTTGTTTGAAGATCAAATGTTTGCTTCTGCTGTGTTAAGATCTTCTCACGTAGAATCACTTCCAAACTAAAACGTAAATATTTCATTTTTCACTCAATCTGCATCATACCTATGCATTTAGACATATCTTTCACTTAATCTCTATATTATAATTGACCGGTCCTTTCTTTCTTTGACCTATAATTTTGTCAAATAAGACTATGATGCATTGATCCCTTGAAACATGGCGATCTAGTCAGTCAGTTCTGATTTGCTGAGTATGGCTTGAGTGCATTTCGTATTTGCCCATACATTAGGTATCAAGACCTAGTTCTGACATGTAATAAATACAGTCTTTCAGCTTTAAGAGATGAAGGACATGAATTCTGTTGAAATTGTCTCATTAATATTTATTTGTCTTCAGAGTGACTCATGAGCTGTTTCAAATTTTGATAAGCAATTAATGCACCAGTGATTCTAACAGACGTAGAAAAGATGGTTATGAGCCAGCAAATAATGGCTCACTTAGGCACGCAGCAGTATCTGCAGTTTTAAAGTGAATTTCACCACAGTAAGTACTTTTATGAGTTTTAAAGAAGCAGATAGAAAAAAAAAAGTTTGAATATTTGGAAGTATGATATACACATGTGCAAACGTTAATATGAGGATCAACAGAGTATCCTGCTTTGTAACACATGTACTTGTACAGCTCTTTATCTGATCATGTGTATGTTTGCGAAAATAACTATATGTAAAGGATTTTTTCCTAGCCTGTTTCATGGATGTCTGTATTTAAATCTAATGTACATTCATACTTTAAGCTCTGTGTGGTGTGGAAAGACCACTAAGACCTATAGAACATGGCTTCCTTTTACAAAACTCTTTTTCCCAGTCATTCACAACTTGTTCTCTTTTCTGCTTGGGTCAGCAGAGCAGTGCTACCTTGTTTCCAGCTGGAATTTCTTTTTCTTTTGTTCTTCCTGTTTCAAATTCACACCTTTAATTGCTGCCTCCCACAGCTCCGCTGACTGACAGTAAGTGCAGCACCCGTTCATCATCTCTGTACCTGGACGCCGTTCTATGCTGTTCTGCAGAATCTAGCGGAGATGTGTGGGTTGTGCAACTATTCACATCTTTATATATGTTCACATATACATATGTTGACATATATTCAGTGACAGTTCTGTTCTGTGTTCCTGAAGTCTATATATGTCCATTCATGTACTGTCGATGCTCAGTGCATAGTGGACCCTGTGCTTTTTAGCTGGTAGGAGTTGGAACAGAAATTTTTTAGCAGACTTCTGTGTGTGTGCTCATGCAGATATGATCTAATAGAGGTTTAAGAGAACTGCATCATACACAACAAGAACAGTATTCATTATTAAAATAATCTGAGAAAGATATGTAGTTTTTAAGCACTGGTTAACAGATAAAAGTGCGTATTGCTACAAAGGACCTTGTAGCTTCATCATATGCTTCCTTTTGTGCTCGGCGTGAGTTGCCACGGGCCGGTCTCTGAGCTTGCGTATAGCCAGGGAAATCCCAATTGAGAACTGTGCAGGCTAAAAAAATGCACAAGAACTTTCTAACACATTTAAACCTTACTTAAGGAAAAACAAACAGACAAAAAACCTCTGGAAACTAGTTTACAAGCTGTAATAAGTTGTTTCATGTTACCTCCATTCTGTTGCGCTAACCACTGTTGGTGTTAAGACAGAAGGACAAAGACAGATTTTAGCAAGATTTACAAAGTTTTGGTGCGGATAGAGTCTACAATCCCCAGCATAAGAGCGTGTTTCTGTTCCCTTTATGTATGGGTTAATGGCACGGCCCCATGCCATGGAAGGGCAAGTTCCCGTGTCACTCACGGTGTGGTTCAACGGCAACTTGAGCTGGTCTCACCCTGGGTTGCCCAAATCCTGGTCTGGCACCGTCCTCAGCTGTGTGTTTCCACCCCTTTCCCTATGTGCACGCTCCTTCGGCAGCTGAAAGTCAAAGCTGGTTGATGGAGCTGTCTGTAAGAGAGTCTCTGTTAGCCATGGTTTTGTTTCGGTGTGTGAAGACTCGTGCTGTCACGCGTTGGGTAACACAGCAGCTGAGAGGTCCATCGGAGTGGAACCAATGGAGGACCTGAGAGGAGGTGAAATGGGTCTGAGGCAAGAGCTGACGGAAAAGGGGAAAGGGACAAGAGAGAAGAGTCACAAGGCTTTATAATTAAATCTTTCCTCCGAACTTTACATTAAACTATTATTCTTGATTCCCAAAAGATCAATGGTGTTTGGGATTAATATTGAATAAAAGAGATGAAAGGCTGTTCGTTGTGTATTCTGGGCACTGATGATTTGGAGATCTGGAGGAAAATGAAGTATGTGACCATGGTATTAAAAGCTGTATATGCATATAAAAATGTGAGAATCAGAAACACAACAGAAAAAATGAAAATCACACAGACAAATTCTGGCATTTCCTAATTTTGGAAGTGAGGAATTTGTGCTATAGGTTTGGTAAAAATCTTGTATGTATTTTTGTATGTAACATAAGCCTAGAAAAATTTGGAATGGGATTTTCAAAAGGACTGTGTTTTAACTGATGTGGAGTTTCACTGGATCAGTTTCTGAACAGTTGAGATAATGAAAGTGTCAAACTTCTGGAACTTCTCAAGTCCTTTCACTGATCTTAGTCTAACCCTGAAAGAAGATTTAAGTAATGTATCTTCTAAAAATATGCATAATTATGTTGTATTAAAAGAGACTTTTATCTTACTCTTTTTTTAATCTGCCATTAATACTAGAAAAAAGCAAGATCTCTCTTGTGCCATAGAATGCTAGCAGGAAGAAGAATTTAATAGGCTGTATTTAGAGCTTTATTTCCTTATTGATTATTTTTGCTTGTGATGACTAGCTATAAACTCTTAAA